GTTTGTGTTGTATGTTGAATTTACGATAATTTAAAAAAAGAAATGAATAAACTAACAAAACTGAACTGAAAGCAGATGAGTACAATTACGTTTTAAAAAAGTAAAAAAAATAAGTAGTAAAAATATTTGAGTTACTTAAATAGAAGGCAAAACGCTCATTCGTCTTATCTAATTCTGTAGAGGCTGTGGTGGTGGTGGTGGCATCTTTTGCTGAAACCAGGGTTTTCTTCACCATTCTCAGAAAAAGAAACAGGTCTGATTCTCTTGCTGGTTTCTGGAACAGAAGGAAGGGCAAAACTTTAATTTATTTTTCCTTTAAAAAAGGGTAAAATCTAATTTAAAATCAAATCGTGTCATGTAAAAATACAAAAACAATTAATAAAGCAGTTACTGACCTGTAAATCTAGTTAATGCACACTTCGTTGATGAGAGTTGTCTTGGAACAGAAAGAAAAGGCTAAATCTAATTTAAAATCAAATCGTATCACATAAAAAAATAAACAGATTAATAAAACAAATTATTAGCCAGTAAATTTAGTTAGTGCAAACTTCGGTCGTTGAAGCTGTCTCTAACGGAGTGAAGTAAAGTGAAGCATCTTTCGTTGATGAGAGTTGTCAGTAATGCACTGGGGAGGTCTTGTCACTGGTGGAGCTACAAGGACGAAGGTCAGATGGAATGTTTGGAGAGGAAGTGGCTATAGCTGACAGTTGTTGAAAAGAGGAAGTATAAACAGTGGAGGGAAAAGGGAAGTAATTAAGCTGGGAAGGGGAAGAAGGAGAATTCATTTTTTTAATGTTGTACAAAAAACTTTAAAATGTTTTAACATCAATGTGTGTTCTTAAATTTGAATGAGTAGCTAAAAGTTGTGACAATTAGAATGTTATAATTTAGACTAGACAAAAACAAAAAAAACTGATTTACTTAACTTCTTTAAACAAATTTTATCATCTTAGCTGGTTTGACTCAAAGCAGGTTCATTTTTTAATGTTGTACAAATTTTTTTTAAATGTTTTCACAAACTTTGAAATTTTTTTAACATCAATGTTGTTAAATAAATTTTATAATCTACTAAGTTGGTTTGACTCAGGGTATAATATTATGGATTAATTTGGAAGATGACATTAAAAATGCCAGATCAATGAGTATATTTAAGAGAATGATAATGTGAGGATTTGGCATGAACAGACCCAGGGCGCAGGCAGGCTCCAAAAGTAGAACAAAAATTTATTTTAAATAACAAAAATGCTGTA